ATTCATAAACAAGTGTGCACTAAATCCCACTTTAATTCCTGGCGATTATTTGCTTTGAAGCCACCTCCATTTAAAACTAAACCCTATCTTTGACAACGAAAAACTTAAATTTGAGAACGACGATTAAAACAATTCCGCAAACAAATATGATAGTTGTAAAGTCAACCTTAAGTATGAATATATAGAATCGAAACAAAATAAAACAGTTGACATCAATACAACAGTAGAATGCATTGGCACTACATTCAAAAGCGACGAAACTACTATAAACGGAATTGTAATTCCAAACTTTGTACACAATTCTCACCCCAACTCAAATGGAAGTAGAGTTGATATTTGGAACTGAAGTTACATAAAAAAACTCAAACAATTAATAGGGTGATCCCTTTATGAGTATAGTCCAAAATCGCGTTGTATTAAAAGCTATTGTTCGGGATCAGTGCGCCATATGGTGGGCTGGTATTAGTTTTTAAGCATATTCTAATATCGATACAGGTGCAGGTTTGTTGTTGGTATTAAATGCTTTTGTTGACTATTTGTTGGATTAGCTTTTATGATTATTGACTGTTTTGTTTGCGTCATAATTCTCTTCTGCTTGTTTGAAGAGTTGTAAATTGCAAAGTCATTGTTTATATTAATATTGTTTTTATGGATACTTAGGTATGCTGTCCTATTCACATTGCATTGAAGTCTTCTACGTGTAAAGTTTTCGATATTTCATTAGAACAGTGTCAAGATCAAGGTGAACTCGACGCTTCAGATTTTAAATGAAATGAACTCTATGCGGCTTACGATAAGAACGATCTAAAATATCAAGCTTGATGTGCTCTAGACTGTTCATTTCTTACCTTCTAGAAATTATTTTTTGCATAATCCTATAAAAAAGCGTGCAATTAACTGAGTTAAGTATTTATCAATCAGCAGATTTGTTGCACGATAAGTAATTGCGTGCACGCGACGAAGATTACTGCACACGTGGCTGTGATATAACGCCGGGATAAACGTGGTGAGGGGTGTGTGCGCTGTTTATAATGTTCATGAAAACAATTAAATACATAAAGTATGAGGTCCTCAAAAGTGACCTCTAAAGTTTAATCCGCTAGTTTGCCATCCTTAGAGGTGAAACATTTTCTTGAAATTTGAATGGTACCAATACTGAGGTATTTGGTGGAGGTCGACCAAAAAAAGAATCATCAAAATCGGTTCACACATACTAATCGCGTATCATACACACAAAAAAATGCAGTCGATTTAAGAACCTCCTCCTTTTTTGACGTCGGTTCAAAATAGACGCTGGGATTTCTTTTTGTTTCGTGCAAAAAATATTAAATAATACATTAATTAAATTTTTATTGAATTGATATTCAATTATTTTTTAATTATTAAATCTGTAATAGATTTCTCATAGATGGCGCTACGACTAAAAAGTCGTTGAAAGACCAAGTACAAAGACACAACGCAAGCACATAGAAAAATTCGTGAGGTCCGTTGGTTCGTTCCGTGGCTTAGTTGGTATAGTATGCACTGGCACGGTATGCAAGAAGACGTCGGTTCGAATCCGACCGGATCGAAGGAATTTTTTCTGAGTGTTTTTTCTGAGTGTTCGATCTTTGTATTAATAATTATAACAAATAATACATTATCATATTTTTCTCATGTAAATTGTCATTTTTTTCTCATGGGAACTTGAATACTGTTTTGGAAACTGACATCGCCATAATTTTTATATTATTTTAACAAAACTGGCACTGGCCCAAGTCTAGTGACCGCCATTAAGAAAAAATAATAATAATTTGAGTACGTCAAAGGTTTACAAACCTACTATGCCCAAACGCTCTGTAAGACAAGACCCATGCCCAACTGTGAGACATAATGGGCTTTTTTCTTTCTTATAATATCAAGTGACGGGACGAACAAGTCGTGCGCCTGACGGTTAGCTACACGCCTGTCCATAACAGTTGCAGTGCCACTCAGTGCTTCAAACCGCAAAGATCTAAAGGGCACTGCCACTGCGCCCGTCATCCTGATACATACGTTAACAAGTCCCATGTGCCTGTAACCCTTACCTTTCAAACTTTACCTCTGACCCTTACCTTTCAAAACCGGAACACAGTAATGCTAACATTACTGCTTGGCGGAAGAAATATGTAAGGTGGCAGTACTTCCCTGGACGAACTCTTTCACAAGGAGGTGATGACAGTATTTTTCTCCCACTACTGGAATATATTTATCGCTATCGGTAGTCTACCAACAAATAACAACTAAGTGACAGTTGACGGATGACCAAAGGTCGGGGGTCACATCTGCAACTTTGATTGCGTCGCGTCAAGCGCCGACGACAGATTAGTAGCATTCCTTGTAATATTCTTCGCTGCTATGTTCCCAAAGGAATTGGCAGTTGATTGGAAAAGGATAGAATTGATTCGACTTAATGAAGTTGGTATTGTTGTTTTAGTTTTGTGTGGTCTAAGATTGAATACGAATTTATCATCAAACGTAGTTTCAGTGATGGACGCGGATCTTCTATAAGGAGACAGTTTAGGTCATAGTCCGTAACACTAATCCAATACGGGTTGGGGACTTCACAAGTTTTCTAAGTATTTGAACCTTTTTCGGTTTCATAACGATGTTTTTCTTCACCGTTGTCAAGAGTGCTGCTAAATTGAATGCACAAATACACGTTAACATAGATATTCAAGTCATTAAAATTACAGAAATCTAAAAAGTAGGCGCTTATTTAGATTTCTGTGATTAAAATCATCAAAAAGCAATTGCACTGTCACTAGACTGATGGGATTATTGATTATGATTAAATTATAGAGTTTCCTCATGCTTTACTATGAAATGCAAAATTAACGGAAGCCAAATAAATTATGATTAACAGCAAAAAAATAAAGGCAAATGAAAAAAAAATGTGTTCAATAAGAAAGTCGAGAATAAACTCCGTCGCCGGAGGGCGGTCGTTTGTCTTCCTACAAAGTCTCGTAAGCTGAAACCGAGGATCTTTCTCTGAAAATAATATGCCCGGGTTTTGTAACCATCCCCAGTTACTATATCATAAGATGTATTTTTTCTATTTACAAAAATGGTACTAGGTTTTGGCCAAAGTTATTGCTTTCATCGTCATTCAACTCTCAGAACGCAGGACAAATCGTCATAATGTTTCGAAATAAATTGAAAATATATAATTGACCAATCAAGTAAAAAATTGTAGCGTGTAAAGAAAAGACAGCCCACATTCAGGATTGTACACAAATCCTTGATTTTAATGAGTCCTAAATAAAAGCACCAAAAATTTTCTTAACGCAATGACCCGAACTAGCATACATCACAGAATAGCCTCGGCAAGACGCTCTGCTCCTACAGAACATGTCTTTTTAGAAGTCGACTACATCCATCAATGTAAACATTTGTCCAGCTAATAAGATGTCACTGTAACACGACGACTTGGGATTGATAGATCGAACGGTAACTTACTCAGGGCATTTCTGGAGTTGAACTGTTTTTGTTTCTGATTTGTTATTTTCATTTGCTTGTACCAAATACATCAAAATTTATACAAGGTTACAAATTTATCTATATTCATTCCTCTGTACTATAATGTCCAGCACACCTATAGATGTTTTAAAATGCTAAGTCACTATTGTCTAACTAAGATATGTACAAGCAGATACATTTCATAATATTAGCACTCCCCAAAAAAAACAGTACTACCAAATACTGGTAAAACGAAACTGAATTATTAACAAAATCCAAAAAATAATCTTCGATAATCTTCCTCATTAACACCAAGAAAATAAATGGAACAGATTTTCAATGAACGCAAACGAATGGCCAAACAAATGGCTAAAATCTGACAAATGGCTTTCCTTTAACGTCTGCGCCCATCTTATTATCGCTACCCACTACCGAACAGTATTCTCATTTGGGTCTTTCTTTTACTTTTTTAAAACCTCCGTCAAGCGAACTTACTCTTTCTTCTAAAGAAAATACAAGTTCGTTTTCTTTGTGTGCTTTTTTGGTATTAGCGGCAAGAACGTATATAGTATCTTCAGCGTTAAGGTGTTACATATTAAGTTCAATTTCGCTTGTACGAGTCTTGAGTAGGATATCAATTTGAGAAGAAGCGTCTGTGCTAATAGCATTACTCGCAATCTCATCCATACACTCGGGGGTTAGGCCGAGCAGAGTATCATTTTTTATGCGACATATAAAACATATTTATTGCAATCATAATCGTTTGAGTTTTACTAGGGATATGTTTGGCAGAGATAAATAGAAGATAATGACGCCAAACTTGTGCGATATAAAGTTACGACGCTTTCTTTATTTTTTGTCTTTATTGAAGTACCTCCTAATTATTTATTCATTACTACTTTACTTCTTCTCTCGATCTTGCAAGAATTGGACATATTTTTCTGGGAAATATACATAACTACATAATATAAACTACTGTGCTAGTACTGTGTACTAAATTGTAATATACGTAGATCTTTTTCCTTTAAATTAAGAAATTAATAATCATAAGTATACTTAAACAACTTCTTTAGCCGGTAACGGTGACATTTAATTTACATAATCAAAAAACGATCTATTTTGTCAACTGTACCGCGAGCAACACAAACCCTCGATTTTGAACTTCATATTGTAGTTGTCACGCTGACCCTACCGCGACTCAATGCGCTCTCAATTCGCGGCAGTTATTATTATCTTGACCCGGTGATTGAGCCCCCCTGCTACAAGGCATCGAGACTTTTGATTGGTTCACAAGTTTGTTTCACGCCTCCTGCTCGGCGCTCATTGGTCTATCTCGCCCCGCCCGCTCAACTTCAAAGGCTCTGCTTAGGGTAGTTCAAACCCCACTTATATATTTTCTACCCTTATGTTGCGCTCGCATTCGTGAAGTATCCATCGGGCAATACGCACGCGTCCCAACATTCATCCCGCGATATAAGTGTGAAAACTTTGAGTTTGAGTGTTGTGTAATAAATGAGAAAACAATGACAATGGACATTCAAAATAATTATCAAAATTACAAAGAGGCTGCTCCAGATGGGAAAGAGACTACCTTAAACATTGAAAGTGCCAAAACTTCGTTAACTTCAAAATCTGAAGGCTTAGCTATGTTGAATCCCGGAAAAACGTTGAAAAGATCCTTCGATGTTGCATTTTTGATGATGCCTGATGAAAAACTTCGTCAGAAACAACCAGACCGTCAGCTACGGGTATCCAAACAATTATTCAACAATGAAGAATGGGAACAATCTTTGAAAAGGGTTCCCGAAATTTATAAACACGGTGAATATTCCAATGAAAATATACTGGACGCCAAAGATCAAGACGACGAAAGAATACGTGTGAACAACAACATATCGCCTACCTTTAGCTCTGACATTAATATAGACGTCGGGACAGATGAATACCCCAATAAAACGATGTATTGCAGTGATTCAGATAATTCTGACATATCCAGAAGTCGTCCAAACTCCAATGAAAGTGCTGCCAGGCAACCAAAATTTCTACCTGAATACAAGAATAAAATTTTCGACGATCCAACATTAATTAGCATGCAGTCAAGAGCAAGATACGAAAACAGGTACACCGAGAGACCGCCAGAAATGTCTCCTAAGAGTGCGTTCACCAAAGTTTCTAACTTCAGCATGAGATCTCCAAATCCATCAGTTAGCCCTGATAATCTTTTATACCAGAACTCCGTAAGTCCCCCGTTATCTGCGGCGAGTCCACCTGCTAGTTTTAACAAGGTACCGAATAATTTATTGACCCACGCTCATCTTCTCAACGGAAATAACTTTTTCAAAGGCCACGTACCTTCACAATCTCCTCCTAATTATCCTGAATCAACAATACCAAGGTCAAATACATCTTTCAATAAAAATATTGAATACCCAGAAAAATCAGGTGACCCTAAAACATCTCATCAGTTGCCAAATAAATTGAACTTTTTACCATTCAGACCCGAGATACCATATCTTCAAGCAGGATCTTCGTACCCATTTGGTGTTCAAAACTTCCAATCTCCAAGTTCAGATTTTATGAAGTTTCCTGTGCCTCCAAGAGAGCCGGTGAATCCACTTATAGCGAATCCTTGTGCTGCAATACTGAGTACGCTATTACCACCGACACTAGCAGCATTTTCGTTGCCCGCTCAAAACGTTTGTGCGAAATGCAGCATCAGCTTTCGAATGACATCTGATTTGGTATACCACATGCGTACGCACCACAAAAGTGAGTCGTCACATGATCCTCATAGAAGAAAGAGAGAAGATAAACTTAAATGTCCAGTCTGCAATGAAAGTTTCAGAGAAAGACATCATTTGACCAGACATATGACCGCTCATCAAGACAAGGAAGGGGACATGGATGACGGTCCCTCGCAGAATTATAATAAGAAGAGTAAGCAATTCTATCACAATGGGGGCTCCCTCATCCACAAATGAATTATGCAAATATTCAAGGACTTAATGAATTATGTTCTTTAGCAATAACTAGGAATAATCGATGGCTGTTTGAAATCTTCACTTAATTTGATATTGTTGTTGTTATTTCTTTAACGCTCTATGTGCAATATTAGCTTTTAAGTATTAATTTATTTTGTATATAATTGTAATAGATTTATTAGTGGATCATTAAATTACTTAAGAATTAACTTAGTTTCTTTTTAATCTCGTTTACCTGTATCTAACATAACGGGAATAAAATTTCTACAAAAATCTTATGAGTTAGGGACACCAACAGAAATTGGGTCATGTGATTTGAAAGTACAAAGAAGTCAGTCAGCCATGACTACTGGACATGTAAAGAACCCGAAATGTTGGTTTGCTCGAAAAGAAAAAATATATATACATACGAATTTAGATCCCAAAAAATAGTTTCAATTCCAATGTGTAACAATGAGGAAAACCTAAGAACTCGATATTAAAAAGTCTTCTCTTCAGCTTTTTTGTTATCTTAATGTAATACTTACGTGTAAGGCTTACGTTTATCCGTTTGAGTCTACTTTTCTTTAATTTCCTTCTAGTTTGCTAATCGACGAATTATTCTACACTGTTATAACATTGATTTTATATTTAAAATCACAAAGTTTTCTTTTGCGTATCAAAAGTACAATTTAATCTAAAAATGATATCTTCATTTCAATAACCCAATTATCCCTCAAACACATCCCATTCCTTATCTGCACCCCTTTTAACACGCTTATCATATTCATTTCCATCATTAATTTCAAACACATCTCGACTTTTGTTCCCATGCGCTCTGCAACATTAAAATACAAAAGTACTAATAGCTGCAGTCAGGAACTGAGGGTAGTAACTAACCGTAGCATAGATAATGGTACAAATATGGGACGATAAAGCTGTCAAGTCGTAGTAAGAGATAGGAACTTTAAATTGAGGTGGATGACATTTGAACTAGTGTTGGGAATCAGTGTTATATAGTACCATATTAACAAGCATTTAAAAGACATG